CTGGTCTGCCCTAGACTTTTACCTTGAGTTGAGAACACACCCTTTTTCCTTAGGGTTTATAAGCCCACAGTAACTGGTGCGCACTAGCTCCTCTGCGCTAACTCCCCATGCAGACACACTTACTGTGCATTAAGCGTGCATTTGTGCACATTAGCTGAATGCACTTCGGAAGCGTATTAAGCTAACCCGCCTGAGGGCACTGACCGTGCAGTAGGATTGTGGACATGGGGAGTTAGTGAGGAGTAGCCAGTGTGCTGTGAATGCACACCTCGGCCCACTGCACGCTAACTTCCCCATGTAGACAAGCCCGTGGTTACTGCAATAAAGGAGTCTAGGGGCTCAAAGCCTGATTGAATGCTCCTGCAGCTACAGTATTACCTTTCACTCCCACGGATCCCAAAGTGTTCGCTAATGGATTGTACACGTTCAGATCTAGCGCAAAAGCATTCCTATAGCATCTGCCATTCAATCCGAACCTTCCACCAACCTGGTGTAGGAGATTGCTGTCACTATCCCTCTTTTACTGTTGGAGAAACTGAGGCACAGAGCGGTTATGTGATTTCCCAGTGAGTGGGAACTAAACCCAGGTCTCTGGACAGAATGTTCCACCTCTAGGGCAGAGGGGTGTCCTGCGTCACAGATGGATGCTCCCAATAAGGTGGGCGCATGCTGCCTAATGCACAGCTGCTCTCACTGCACCTCCTTCCCCAGGTGGCTGGGTTAGGAGAGGAGGCTGTTGACGCGGGGAACCCCCCGATCAGCAGCGTGTCACGCGGATAGTCACCGGAGGCAGCGGTTTGAGGCCAAGTTCCAGCTCCACTGTTCTGGCAGTGCAAGCTGTAAAGCCGGTGGGCCTGGCCCCAGTGCAGGGGGGGGTAGGGGGCATATCCAGGCAGCCCCATGCCCTGGCGATCTCCAGCTGCCAAAACACCACTGGGCAGCCAGACTGGCCCCAGGGTTGGGAGGGTGTGAAAGTGGCTTATGGACCTTAATGGTCCCCACCCCTCTGCCCTAGAGGTGGAACATTCTGTCCGAGGGCCTAGGCTGGCAAGGTGCGCCATTAGTGGGCGTTAAGGAGGCTCGGGATTCCCCTGGAGAGGTTGGCAGGGGCTGGGGCTGGGCTCCCAGCTGAGACACAATGGCTGGGGTAACACGTGGGATGCTCGCCCTGCTGCTACCACCACGCATTCTCTCTCCACTCTGCGGGGCTCTTGGTCTGGCACTTTTCACCAACCATCCGCAGACGCAAAATGTCACGAGCCGCTCGCTGCTCGCACCAGGGCCCCTGTATTCTGTTCGTGGGGGATTTCGTGCTGCGCCGGACGGAACCTAAGGGCTGTTGTAATAGAAAAGAAAACCGGACCGGAGCGAAGTGCGTGTTCTCGTCAAAGTCAAAAATACACAGGTGCTCGCGGCGAGCTGCTCAGGATAGATCGACAATGATCAATACACGCTCGTCACTGCTTTAACTCGGGGAACAGTTGGGCCGACTATCCTACAGCACAGCACTGGGGGCAGCCACGGAGGGTCCACGGTGGAGCAGTGTTGAGGACGAAGTCCATATGAAAAAGGGTTTTTTTTTTTTTTAGTCCTGGTCTTATTGCCTGCTTCCTGGGAGGGAATTGCTGAGACACGCAAGTGTGAGCCCTCATCTCAGGTGATCTCTTGTGCCTTCCATTGAGGATTTCTCTGGCCATTTTGTCCCATGTGTGTTTAATCACACTTAGCACCACTCATTCAGCGCTTGATGCAAGCAAAGGCTTCCCCCACGTTAGCTAAATAACGCTCCCTGTGATGACTGCACCGTTGGGAAGGGTTATAAAATTATCCTCATTTGACACATGTGGGAAAGCAAGGCAGAGCAGTTCAGTGTCTGTCTCAGGTCAGAGATATGAGTCAGCGTCAGAGGCTGGATCCTGGCTCCCAGACCTGTGCTCGGCCCAGCTGGTCACATTCCCCTCCTCCTCTCCTCACCCCTCTGTTAACCCTTTCCTCTCTATCTCACAGACCTCCAGACCTCCTAGCATGCAGCACCCGAACAGCAGGCTTGTAACAGCCTTCCATGTGTTGGCCTGGGGGAGGAAATCTTATCAGAGCCTGATCTGTAACAGCCTCCCATGTGACTTCCACATGGCATAGGTCCCTTCATCCATCTCTCTTCCCCTTGTCCTCCTCACCTGGCTGCTTCTCATCCTGGCCGGCTTCCCCAGTGGAGGAGAGTGTCTCTAGGACTTGGGAAGGGCTAGCAGAAGGAAGCCGTTCCCAGGAGCCGGATAACTCCTGGCTGTGCCTCTGTGCAGACAAGTCAGAAGATGTGGTGGGGCGAAGCAGGGCATTCTGGGAAAAGTGAGTTGACATCTGGAGGAAGAATGGGAGGCTCTGTCAAGCAGGGTGATACAGGCCCAGGGCAGCATGCGGAAGGAGGGGTGGAGGCAGGCTATGAAGTGGGCTGTGGGTTATGAGGCATGGGGAGTATTGCAGTAGCTTCAGCCATGATCAGCTTATTTGTACTAAGTGCTGGCAAACACCTAGGGAGAGACAGTCCTTTCCCCAAAGGCCTTCCAGTCTAAATAAAGAAGACGAAGGGTGTGGGGAAAACTGAGGCACGGAGCAGGGACGTGACTTGCCCAAGGTCACCCAGCAGGTTAGTGACTGTAGCAGGAATGAAACCCAGGTCTCCTGACTCCCAGTGCCCTACACACTGGCCCATACTGCTCTGCAAAACCGCCCACCACTTTAGTTCCTTTCGGGCCCGGTAGAGCCTTTCCATTTGATGGCTCTTCAGTGTCTTATGGAAAAGACATTGAGCTCAACCTGGTTCCCGAAGGCCAGGTGTTCCCACGGCAGCAGCTGGCCCCGGCAGGCTCACGCCGGGATTTGTTCTGGTTCACTGGCAGCCGAGAAATGCGAGTAAAGATGGAAAAACAAAGTGAGTAATTTTTCACCCTGTCAGCTCCAATGTGAATGAGGCTGGAGACCGACCTCCCCCGCACCCAGCGAGCGGTCCCGCCAGGTCAGCGCTGAGCCCGTTGGCAGGGGCCGATGCGGGAGAAGTGCGGGTTGCAGCCTGTGCTGGGCCTGCATGGTGGAGCTGGACGGCAGAAAGTTCTGGTCTCCAGGGCTATGGACCCAACACCTTTCTCCAGCCAGAAATTTACACTGGGCCTGATCAAAGCCCATTCCAGTCAATGGGGAATCGTTCCGGGATCTTAAAGGGAACAACGCTGGGCAGCTGTTTCTGGACCCATCAGCTGTTGCATGTTAATATTCCCCTGAGCTCATCAACATTTGAAGTAACCAGACTAACACCAGCGTCCGAGAGATCGTATCTGGCCAGGGGATAGCACTGGGATGCTCTCTAATTTCAGAGTGTGCGATGCCTGCTCTTTGGTCACCAACCGTCATTAAGTCATTCAGTTGTTTTCTGAACAATGTCCAGGCTCTTTTGAAATGCACCACGTGTGTGTCCGTGCATGAGTGGCTCTAGGAATGAATTCCCATGGTTGGTTTTCACAGCCCAAAGTCGGGGCTGCCTCCTGGATCGTCACGTCATTGTGCCGCATCCCGCCCTTTCTCTCGCTGGCTGGCACGTCCGAAAGGAGCGGAGAGGGTGTATTTCAACAGCCGTCGTCTTCTTCCTTTGATTGTTTCCTCTTTGTCCTCGCTAGCACTGGTTCATACAAAAATACCCTTTCCTGGCATTTGTGTGGCCGATGGTTCCATAGATCCCTCTGCTGGCTTTTCTTTCTCTTGTCTTCCCCTTTTCCTTCCTACGTGTTCACGTTAACTCGAGATGCCATTATCGGGAAGCTTCTTGAATAGCAAGTTGCTCCTGACCAGTAAAGTGTCTGCGTTTTGCTGTGCTGTGTCAATGAAGCTCTGTCTGCATAATGAGCACCAAGAATATTGGGGGGGGAGAGGTCCCTGTTCCTATTGAAGTCAGTGGTAAACTGCTTCTGACTTTATTCAAGGTGCAGCACTGGGAGGTTTGCTACCCAGGCTTATATGGCCCCTGATATCTCTGCTGAGTGCCAACATAGGTGCAATTGTGATCTTTTCTGATGGGGATCTCTTGTACGGCACCGGGGTGCAGGCAATCTGGCCTAACGGTCACAGCTGGGCTGGGGTAGGCGGTGAGCAGGGGTCAGAGAAATCGCTAGCGCCAGGGTCAGAGTCGGGCCGGGGTCAGAGATGAGAGATCAGAGGTAGGCCCAGGCTGGAGTCACGGTCGGAGACTGGCAATCAGGGGACAAGGTGAAGTCTGAGTGATTGCCCAGATACCTTCCTGGGGTTAACTAGTGTGTGGGGCTGTCAGAGGCCTGCAGGGTGCTGTCACGATGGGTCCTTCGAGAGGTGCTTCCTGCAGTGCCCACTCTCCGCAGGGCTCCCTGGCTGCGGCTCTCTCTTGTTTTACACCCCTCCCCACTGGGAACGGGGGCAGCTCCTTTGGTACGAGTCGCTGAACAGCCGTCCTGTCCTATAGCAATGGCTTGTGTCCGCTCCCGGAGCTGACCTGGGACTCGAGAGGGGAAAGGTTCTGCAGCCTGTTACAAGAGCTGCTCAGAGGCCTGGGCGCTCCAGGCTAACAATGAATAGGTTCCAAGGAAGAAGATGGGCCGTGTGGTTCAGGCACTGGATGGAAAGCAGGGTCCAATTCCCAGCTGTGCCTCAGACTTTCTGTGGGTACCTCAGGCCAGTCCCGTGCTCTCTCGGTGCCTCGGTTTCCCCGTTTGTAAATGTTGCCGGTGTCCTTCCTTGTCTCCTGGGGGGCTGTCAGCATAACCCAGCTGCTCAGATGTGGGGTTGGGGGTGGGCATGGAGAGAGCCTTTTATTCTCCTGTGATTGCTTGTATGTGTCCATGTACATTGCCTCTTGGATTCGTGGCGCATTCGGAGTCCCAGTGGCGTGGGCCAGTGTGATTGACGGGGAATTGTCTGACCTTTTACTAATCCTTGTTTGGAGAGGTTTTGACCATGCTGTTTTCTGCCTTGCTTCTCAGTGGTAACGAGACGGCAGCCTACAAGTACAGGTACCGGCTTTTCTACCCGCGGGTCTGCATGCCTCACGGAATGCTGCATTTCGCCCCCTGACATCACGCCCCTGGCCAACGAGGGCTGGACCATTTGCTTTTTAACCCATTCACGGCTGCACCCCCTCCCACCTCCCGCCACTGAGCTGCCTCTAAGAGAGAGCTGGATTGTGCCGGATGCATTGGCAGCGCAGCTAGTGTGTTCTACCTGAGCATACCTGGTCTATTTAGTACCACTGCAGGTGTGTTCTACCAGCACCCACTTAGTGCATTTCGTTGCACTGCAGGTATATTCTAACCTTGCATACCTGGTAATATTTTGCAGTGCATCTGGTGCATCTGCCTGGTCTATTCAGCCGCAAAGCTTTTAATTGCATCGTAACTATTTGACTAATAGTCTGGTGTTTATTTGGACGCTGGGTGGCCTTTTTGCCAGCACGACACAGTTCTCGAGCTCGATCTCCCCTTCGTGATCCCACCGTGCGCTTCATTTGTTTCCGTCTGTAAAGGGCTTCGGCTGCAAACAGCCTGGGCAGATGGAAAATCCCATCTGTCAAAAGGCCCCGCCTTGTGCTTTCTACCCAGCAAAGCCGTGTGAAAGGTTGGGGTTTCTGCAAGGCCTAGGGAACGTGCTGCCACCGCCGGAGCAGAATACAGGGTGACACGCGGCTCCAGCGCTGTTACTTGAAGCTTGATGGATCCAATTGGGACACTGCAAGCATAGGCTCTCTCACTCCTGCAGAGGTCATGGTGTCCTGGCAGAGTCCCCAGTGATTGGCTGAGCCGGCTGGTCTGGAGCAGGCCCTTCCTTAGACAGTGGGTAGCACAAACCGTAGAGTGAAATGCAAAGGGAAACAGACCCTTTCAGAACTGTGGCTAGGGCTGCCAGGCTGGCGGTTCCGGTCGGCACTGCCGACCGGGCCGTTAAAAGTCCGGTTGGCAGCGCAGCGGGGGCCTGGGGCTAAGGCCGGCTCCCAGCCTGCCCTGACTCCATGCGGCTCCGGGAAGTGGCCACCAGGTCCTCGCATCCCCTAAGCGCAGGGGCAGCCAGGGAGGCTCTGCGCGCTGCCCCCGCCCCTGTGCCAGTTCCGCAGCTCCCATTGTCTGGGAACCGCGACCAATGAGAGCTGAGGGGGCGGCGCCTGCAGGCGTGAGGGCAGCGCACGGATCCTCACTGGCCGCCCATGCACCTAGGGGCTGCAAGGACCTGACAGCCGCTTTCTGGGCAACAAAATGGCAGATGAAATTAAATGTTGATAAATGCAAAGTAATGCACCCTGGAAAACATGATCCCAACTATACATCTAAAATGATGGGGTCTAAATGAGCTTTTCCCACTCAAGAAAGATCTTGGAGTCGTTGTGGACAGTTCTCTGAAAACATCCACTCAGTGTGCAGTGATAGTCAAAAAAGCGAACAGAATGTTGGGATTAGGAAAGGGATTGATAATAAGACAGAAAATATCATATTACCTCTATATAAATCCATGGTACCCTCACACTTTGTGTGCAGATGTGGTCACCCCATATAAAAAAAGATATATTGGAATTGAAAAAGGTACAGAAAAGGGCAATAAAATGATGAGGGGTATGGAACGGCTTCCGTATGAGGAGAGATTAATAAGACTGGGACTGTTTAGCTTGGAAAAGAGATGACTAAGGGGGGGATATGAGAGAGATCTATAAAATCATGACGTGTGGAGAAAGTGAATAAGGAAGTGTTATTCTTTCCCATAACACAAGAACTAGGGGTCACCAAATGACATTAATAGGCAGTAGGTGTAAAACAAAAGGAAATATTTCTTCACTCAGTGCAGTCAGTCTGTGGAACTCATTGCCAGGGGACTTTGTGAAGGCCAAAACTATAACTAGGTTAAAAAAATAATCGGATAAGTTCATGGAGGCTAGGTCCATCAATGGCTATTAGCCAGGATGGTCAGGGATGAAACCAGATGCCCTGAGTGTCTCTAGCCTCTGACTGACAGAAGCTGGGAGTGGACAACAGGGGATGGATCACTCAATGATTGCTTGTTCTCTTCATTCCCTCTGAAGCACCTGGCATTGGCCACTGTTGGAAGATAGGATACTGGACTAGATGGACCGTTGGTCTGACCCAGTATGGCCGCTCTTATGGTCATATGATCCAGATGAAATAGCATAACAAATTTGCAGTCACCTAGGACATCATGGTTGTCAGTATACTGGACACCATAATGACTCCGAGTTTAGCAACAGATGCTGGGCTAGAAACCAGGCCTTCCTGTTCCAAAACGCTCAAGCTCCTGCCGCGTGAGCGAAAGAAGAATCTCCTAGCACTATAGGCCCAATAGCACACAGCTGCACAACTGTGGGTGACACGTGTATTAACCAGTTTATTGGGAAGACAACCAAGTCTCAGAGCAGTGAAATGACCTACCCGGGGCCACACATCGAGGCATTGTCAGAGAGGAGGTCAGACCCCCCAGCTGGCACACGTGCCTTAGCTAGCACACGGAATGTGAACAACCATTAGGGTAACTGGCAACTCTGTCTTGCCCTGCAAGGCCAGCTGTGGAAGTGTGTGGAATTGTTGTCTGAGGAGTCAGGGATGAATCTGACTTGATCACAGATTGACCCAACGGACTCAGAGGCAGAAAAGGTTGTCGTATACTCAGCCCACTCTCTGGCCTGCGTGGCACTGTCTCTAATTCTCCACTGCCTTTGTCCACTCTTCCCTTGGGAGTCTATTCCACTGCTGAAAAGAGTGCACAAAGTCATCATGTCCAGTCCCCTGCACTGAGGCAGGACCGAGTAAACCTAGACTATCCCTGACAGGTGTCTGTCCTGTTCAGCCTAGACCTTTAAATTAGGCTCTGTTGAACCCCCTACACAATTCCTTTCACTCCTTCATATTCACCCTCTCGTCTCATCCTTGGAGACTCATAATTGTATGTCCTTTCGTCACCGATCTGCTCAGCCTAGACAGTGTGGCCTGGGGATAGTGCGCTGGCCTAGATTCAGGAGATTTGGTGTCTATCCCTGGTTCTGGCCTGACTGGAGAACTTGGGCAAGTCACGTCCCTACTCTGTGCCTCAGTTTCCCCATCTGTAAAATAGTGATAGTGACCTCCTTAGAAAGCACTTTGAGAGCCACGGATGAAAAGTGTAGTTATATAAGTGCTGGAGAGTATTATTATTATTATCATCACCCATTTCGGACGTCTAATATTGCTTTGCACAACTCAGCCCCTCCAGGATACGGCACAACTCATGCACAAAGCAATGGTGAGAAGAAACAAACCAGCAAAGGGATTTTGCAAGAGCAAAAATGATGGTAGTGATTTCCTGATCTGGGGAAGAATTAGGCTGCCCGGCTGGATTTATTTCTCATCTACTCGACCGCGTAGCCAGAGAGAGAGGCCAATTAGCAAAAAAATAACCTGAGTTAATTTCTGCTCCTATTTTATGTAGCCTAGGGTCTTACATGGAAACTATTCGAGGGCTCAGCTGCAGAATTAAGAGGCAGCAGGTTTAAAACAAACATAAGGAAGTATTTCTTCACACAGCGCAGTCAGCCTGTGGAACTCATTGCCAAGGGATGTTGCGAAGGCCAAAACTATAACAGGGTTCAAAAAAGAATTAGATACGTTCATGGAGGACAGGTCTGTCAGTGGCTATTAGCCAAGGTGGTCAGGGGCCCAGTCCCATGCTCTGGGTGTCCCTAGCCAGAAGCTGGGACTGGATGACAGAGGATGGATCACTGGAAATGACCTGTTCTGTTCATTCCCTCTGAAGCACCTGGTGCTGGCCCCTGCCAGAGACAGTATCCTGGGCTAGATGGACCATTGGTCTGACCCCCTCTGGCTGTTCTCATGTTCTTAGATTTCAGACCCAGGATACAAACACCCTCAGTGTTTGAGGGTGCCCAGCATCTGATCTAGGGGTTGGAGCCATCTGGCCATCCTTGCTTGCCATGCCCTGCCCATCACTGTGATGTCTAAGTGCTGCTCGGATATATGTCAGGTGACCAAAGGTCTGGGCGGGTCTGTCTATACTACATGGAGAGGGTGCCTCCCAGCCTGGCTAGACAGACAGATGCTAAAAATAGCAGTCTGGACGTTGGGGCACGGGCTACCCACCTGACTCCATGCCCGGCCATCCCTTTGGTCCGAACTCAGGTGGCTAGCCCGAGCCACCACCCATACTGGCTGGGAGGCCAAGCAGAGCCTGTGTCTCTGTCTCTCTCTCTCTGAGGCGAGATTACGGTTGCATTCATAGAATATCAGGGTTGGAAGGGACCTCAGGAAGTCATCTAGTCCAACCCCCTGCTCAAAGCAGGACCAATCCCCAACTAAATCCATTGTCCAATGTTGTTTCAAAGCCGCGATTTGGGGGGGCTACTGGGTGGGAGGGTCAAAGATGGGCTCGTCCTGCCCGAGGCAAGGGCAGTTCATCCGTGCTAGTCATGTTGGACCCGTCTGTGGCATTTGATCTGCTGCCAATCACCCAGTTCCCCTGCCTCCAAGGAGCTGCAGGGATGTATGGAAACAACCTGACATGGCTAAGGTCCTTCCTCTCCAACAAAACCTCCAGGGTCGCTATGTTCCTTTGCCTCCAGCATCCCACGAGGCTCAGGCCTCTCCTCCATGTCGTCCAACATCTGAAGGAAGCCGTTGGGGGTGCTGGTGAAATGGCACGGGCCCAAGCGCCCTCAGTACACAGGTAGCACCCAGCACGCCCCACCCCACCCCAGCTCGTCCAGTGCCTGACCAAAGTCAGCACTGGGTGGGGAGCAGCTGAAGGCTGAGGGGCGCTGCTCGTATGAGGACTGTGGACCTCCCATTGTGCAAGCTCATCCCTTCGGCTTAGCTCCCTCGTCCTTTGCACGCTCCCGCACGCCCAGCCGCCTCACCGCTCGTCACGCTGTAAAAACCTCCAGCCCGGGAAGGAAGAAAGAGGGAGATTGTTGTTTTGATTTTTAAATATTTGGAGGCACCCAGCACTCCTGAGGCTCCCGTCAGGC